AGTATCATCCCACCCGAACAGTATCATCACAATTCGTTGCGTATTGCATCACAGCTGCAGTGCGCTCCAACTGGCGCCCACACCCCAACGAATCGCATGTCTCTCCTTTTGTGTCATTATCCCTTGATTACCTATGGTGGTACCACGTCGGAATGATGTGGGTGCGTGGGGTGTGCGAGGCTGAAACTCACAGTTGGAAATACGGGCGGATCGCTGCTAGAGGCCACCTGGGCACGACGGTAAGGGACGAGTCAAAAGGGCCGATCCGACTGTGGACTGCCGACAAGAGTAACCCCAATATTAGATACAGCTGCACACACTCAATGCACCAGCCTCTGATACAAGGCCAGCCAGTATGGACTTCTCAGCCTCGCCCATTGAAGCCCAGCGCGAGCCAACATATCGACTGTATCTGCGTCAGTCGTTTGCTCTATGTCTGCTCTATCTTTCTCACTGCTGATACGCCAGCTACGGTTTACGTAAAAGTGGCGGGTGGTCACGGGTCTGTGGAGAGAGTATCCGACCAGTCACCGACCAACAGGCCAGCCAGAGTGCCTGTGCCAGCCAACAGCCTGCAGTTACACTGAGCTGCTCTCGAACCTTGCAGACTTGCACGCGTAGTTCGTCCCCTCCCTCGTTTAGTGCCCCCCCGCATTACGGTCGTCGTCGAGTTTCGGTTCCGTTTCCATAGCTCCCACAAGCACTGCGTGGCCAGCGTATACTTCGAGCCTTTAAGCCTACTCTTTGCTTGTCTCTCACGCCGTCCGATTGATCTTCTTCGCTGGCCTCGCATAACATGTTCGCGCTTTGCCAAAGACGGTTTCACGCGTTATACGTTTCTGCCCTAGGGACGCTACAGATCCGCTGCGTAAGTTTGCCCAACGAGAGGATGACGAGGAGGAGGAGGACGACGAGGAGGAGGAGGAGGAGGACGAGGAGGACGAGGAGGTAGGAGGACGAGGAGGAGGAGGAGGAGGAGGAGGAACGAGCAGGAGGAGGAGGAGGAGGAGGAGGAGGAGGAGGAGGAGGAGGACGAGGAGGCAGGAGGTGGAACGTGGCCCAGGGGGCGGTCCATCTGTCAAATCTCGGGAGAGAATCACCCCCCCGCACTGCGGGGCATGAGCTAAGGCGGAAAACCCCCGTTTAATACACTCCGAGAACAGGAAGGAGAGCGTGACGAGGCACACGAGGAGGGGCCCCGCGAGGAAAATCGAGGACGAGTAGGCGAGGAAGACGCCGGCTCGAGGACGGAGGCGCTGAGGCCCCCGACGAAGGCAACCGCGAGGAAGACGGAGTATGTGATAAAAGAGCCAGTTCGAAAAAACAGAGGCGATAACCAGGGCCAATGCAAACCACCAACACCAACTAGTAGCCGTCAACTCACATCAAAGAAGGGTGGTTGCTCGATCGAGGTGCGAAGCCACGCAGGCGCAGTCCAACCGGACTGGAGAGACAAGAGATCGTCGAGCATGTCATCGCCGATGATGCCGTCGAACTTGCCACAGTCGACTGCAGCACTCTGCGGTTCCAGCCTTCGTGGGTCCGGTGGGTAAGGAGAGCGGTTGCAAGCTTCTTGTGACTTCGCACGTGCCCTGTCCCCCCAATCGGTCACGTCCTGGCCATCAGGTTCTGCAGGGCGAGAGCGAACCTCTTCCGCTGAAAGTTAAGCGGGACGCGCACAGCTTTAATTAGCAGAGAAAGGGCGGAAGAAGGCGGGGCCCCAGCGCGCAAAGATACAATCAGCGTGGCTATGGCTCCTCCCATACCTGCACACCCGCTGCGCGGAACTGGACGACATGGCCGACGGCGGCGGGGCAGCACCACCAGAACATGCAACTATGGGGGTGCCAGGAGAACGCCCACGAACACCATGCGAAGCGGACTCACTGCTGGACGAAATTCTCGAACCCTTGTGCCTGACCAAGTCGATGTACTGCGCACGCAGCTCAGCAATCATGGTCGAAAACTCTTGGTGCTGCTCGGCCAGCAGGCAGCGCACCGTAACAGCAAGCCCGCCCGCTATCGGCGAACTAGTCTTCTCGACAAGACAAGGCAGAACACTGAAAACAACCTCTGCGGCAGTCGAGGAGATGATGGTTTTAAGCGTCTGCGATATACATGAAATCAACATTTCCGGCGTCGGGATTCTCTCACGGCACGCCGCCGTATCCCTCTCCACTGGCTGAGCGACTGCGCAGGTTCCTGTCCACCTGCTCCTCAGACTCAGAATGGAAGGCAGACGACGAAGCTGAGTCCGACGAGTCCACCGCCACATAGAGCCGTGGCGAAAGGGAAGATGATGTCAGGCACAGTTCTCCGTCAGCCGCAGGCGCGACAGACACCGCAGCAACCCGCTCGACCTCGATGATGCCATTCAACTTCGCGACCGAATCATTATGTGCATTAACAAACTCCTGGTAGGATGCCAGCTGCCCATCAAACGTCTGCTGCGAAACGGCCAAGATACCTGGCACGGACACCCTGGATGTCCCAACGGGGT